CTTTTGGTTATAAAGATCGCCTTGAAATTTAAGAACACATTTTACTATAGCTAATATTTCTTTAGCTATAGTGGCATAATTTTTCTGGGCTGTGTTCCATTTGCCAGAATAATATTGAACAATATAATGTCTTTTATTTTCAGGACAATATTGGGTAAGAATACCCCCATATCCTATATCAGAAGCATCAGTTTCTACAGTCTTTGCCCAATTTGGATTGGCTAAAGTTAAACAAGGAAGGTTTTTAACCTTTTCTTTAATCCTTTTAACTGCTTTAGTATGATCATCTGACCAAGCCTTAGGATTCTTTTTTAATCGTTCATATAAAATGGCTGTATCTTTTGCTAGATCCTTTATAAACGGAGCAATATAATTAAGGCTTCCCAGAAACCTCTGTAATTGGGTTTTGTTAGTTATAACATCTGGAAATTTAGAAGCAAATTCAATACTTCTGTTGATAGGACTAATATTTTCTTTTTCTATATTATGACCAAGAAACCTGATATTTGTTTTAAATAAGGCCATCTTTGTTGAGACAAAACTAACCCATTCTGAATAATAATTCTTTTAAATAGTTCTAAGTGTTTAAAATGAGTTTCTATATTTTTAGAAAATACTAGAATATCATCTATATAAACTATTATAAAATTACTATAAGGGATAAAAATATCATTCATTATTTTCTGAAATTCTGATGGAGCATTCTTTAAGCCAAATGGCATAAAATTCCATTCAAATTGCCCCATCGGCACATTAAAAGCGGTTTTGAACCTGTCTGATTCAGCTATCTGAATCTGCCAATAGCCTGATTTTAGATCAAATTTAGAGAAAATAATAGCATCATAAACTCTGTCTAATAAATCCTTTTTATTAGGAATTGGATACCGTATCCATCTTAAGGCTTTATTAAGAGGCTTATAATTTATTACTAATCGAGGTGCTCCCCTCTCCTGTTCGGCGTGTTTATTAACATAGAATGTCGTACAGGACCATGGTGATTTGGATTGCCTTATAAGGCCTTTTTGCAATAAAGAGCTAATTTCCTTTTTGCATAACTCTAAATATTCAGAGTTCATCTGACAAGGTCTTGCTTTTGTAGGAATATTATCCTCATCAAAATCATCTTCATATGGAAGACTTACAACATGCTTTTTCCTATTCCAAAAAGCATTGGGATGATCTCCACATATTTCAATAGAAAATTGATTAGCCAAGATATTAATTTTATCTTGTAATTTAGGATTTTGTAGAATATTTTCAATTTCAATACTATTAATTTCTTGTTTTATAAAATTGACTTGATTATTTTTTGAAATCAATAGTTTGGCAGTTAAATCATTTATCATTCTAGTAAATGGTTTAGTGACAAATTCTAATATAAATGGTTTGTTATTCCAAGTTCCAATAATCTTATCATTATCCCAATGAGTGAGTGGGAAAATATCATTTATAAAAGGTACACCAAAAATAATTTGATTAGTGATATTTTTTACTAGAACAAAACTTTGAGGGACACAACTTTTCCCTTTACATATGAAAGCTTTGGGTAATTTAAATTCAATATTCATTTTACTTCCATTAGCAGAACGAAGACTATGAGTAGTTTTATGAAAATACCTTGAAGGTATAAGTCCTTCTTGAATACAATTTAAATCAGCTGCACTATCAATAAGAGCAATGAATTCTTTCTTATAATTATAATCTATTAAAAGAGTTATTTTAGTATAAAACTTTTGAGAAGTAAAGACTTTAAGACTATATAAAAAATCTGTCTTATTATTTTTTAAAGAAAGGTTTTTTATAAAATCAAGATTATCATTTTCTCCTTCCAGAGAAGAAGATGATTCAGAAGCATTTTCTAAATCTAAACGGGTTTGTAAAGCATCCATTCTGACTTCTATAACAACATTCTTTTCTTTAAGACGTATAATGTCTTCTTTGAGATTATTAATCTCTTCTTTTAAATCACTGATTGTGGTGGGAGAACTTATCATTTTCCTCCTTTCTAATAAGAGATTTTTAACCTCTGCCATAGTATATGATCCTTCTTTAGTAGGAATTTCCTCCTCAGAAATATGATTCTTAACCTTAGTAGTAGAATTACTACTATTTTTGTCAATAATTTGAGCTCTTATGTCTGGATCTTTAATACTTTGTAAAAGCTCCAGAACCTGATCATTATCAATGACATTAAGACTTAATTCCTTAAATTGATCATAGATCTTATAAAGATCATCCTCTTCTACCTCCTTTTCACATGCCATTCCTTGTTGGCATGGTGAACACTCATCTTCAGAAGTCAGAAAGTTTACTTGTTGAAGAGCTTTAAGATCTTCACTCGTAGAGGACCTATAATCTTCTGATTCAGAGCTAGAATTAAGCATAGTCTTATAAAGAGAATCCTTAATATTATCATCTATGTCAAGGCTTTTGATCTTTTCCTTGACCCTGCAGTCTTTGGCATAATGACCAAACCTTCCACATTTGTGGCAAGTATCTGACTTATTATAATTTTGTCGATACTTTTTCTTTCTCTTAGAAAAGTCACCTTTTCCCTCTTCTACTCTTCTTTGCTTCTTTTCTATTCTCTTTTTCTTCTATTTTTCATAATCTTTTATGGAAGATTTCTTTTTCTTAGGAATATTTTCCTTGTCTTTAGACTTTTGTTTAGGAACATCAAATGCGAATTGTTCGCAAAATTCTCCTAATTGCTTTCTTTCATTTAAGCCATGACGCTTAATCTGCTGGTTTAGCTTAATTTCATTACACAGAGAGAGTCCCTCCTGTACACAAGCACTTATAAGTTTTCCATAAGTAAACATATCATAATTAATATTAGGATTATCCCCTCTAATTGCTTTTCTAACTCTTTTAGCAAATAGACTTGGTAGTCCATCAATAAATTTGGACTTCCAATGAGCGCTATTACATTCTGGTAACTCCATTACTCTACACAAGAATACATCTTTATAAAATCTGAATGATGTAAGGGTTTTACACCTCAGATTTTGAAGTAGAGTTCTTATGGTCTCACTATTATCCGACCATCTTCCAGAGAAATGTTCTATAATATTTAGAACCAGTGTATAAACTGCATTTTGCGTAATGGCTTCTCCTTCTTGTTTTACTGCCAACATGACTTTATCCCTTTGAAGAAATACATCAAGGATATTCCTTCGAAGAATACATTCTCTTCCTGCAATTTTATTAATTTTGGGGATATGTCCACCCATTCCAAATATAATTTCTTGTATGATTCTGGTAGGATTTTTACTGAAGGACCATATAAAGTCCACCATTTACAGAACCAATTAGGAATATGCCTGTCAAATACATTAGAACATATTTTAATAAACCATGAATGCTTTCTATTAGCATTTTCATATACTGTTGCCAGGACTAGCTATGACTATAAAGGTTCCTAATAGTCTAACTGTTGTGCGATCCATTTTCGTATGGTATCAGAGTCATGGACTTATAATAGCTATAGATGTTATAGTTCAACACAGTTTCTTTTATGAATATCATAAAGAAAAGGCCTACTGTTAAAAACAGTAGAAATGAAGAATATGATATACCTCAACATTTAGATCTACTTAATAAGTGGACTAATCCGAAAATATCTCCTAGAATCATATATCAGATGGGTACTTTTGAGAAATTAGGTCTCAAACAAGTGGTAAAAACCACAGAAGAAACTATTACCATTGATAATGATAATCAGACATTTAGATTATTATCTGATAATGATTTAGCCCCTAGAAGACCTAATGATTAAAAAATATTTTCAATTTCAAAATTTCATTTTTTAACCCCTACCCTCAACCCCCCCCCCCCCCAAAAAAAAAAATTAAGTTTGTTTTTAAAAAATATTTTCAATTTCAAAATTTCATTTTTTCACCCTACCCTCAACCCCCCACCCACCTACCCCCTACCAGCCCCTCCCCCCGCCCACCCAAAAAAAAATAAATTTAAGTTTGTTTTTAAAAAATATTTTCAATTTCAAAATTTCATTTTTTAACCCCTACCCTTAACCCCCCACCCACCTACGCCCTACCAGCCCCCTCACCCCCCCCCCACCCCCCCCCCCCCCAAAAAAAAATTTAAATTTGTTTTTAAAAAATATTTTCAATTTCAAAATTTCATTTTTTCCCCCACCCACCTACCCCCTACCAGCCCCCCACCCCCCAAAAAAATTTAAGTTTGTTTTTAAAAAATATTTTCAACTTCAAAATTTCAATTTTTCACCCCTACCCTCGACCCCGCCCCCTCACCCACCCCATACCACCCTCCCCACCCCCAAAAGAAATTAAGTTTGTTTTTAAAAAAAAATTCAATTTCAAAAATTATTTTCTACTCTAGTAAAAATAAAAGATATTTCTCAAAAAAAAAAAATCATTCATAAATCAAACACTAAAAATCTTTTCCGGAAAATATTTTCTACTCACCAACCAAACATGAGAAAATAAGTCAAAAATCAACTTGTTTTCCGGGAAAACATTTTCTAGGAAAACATTTTCCATGGAAAACATTTTCCTTCATACCAAACACACCCTAAATAAATATTGAAAATGTTGACAAGGAGTCATATTAAATGCTAAAATATTATTGTTTTGAAATTTTTCCCTAAACTAGTGTTCTGATCTTTGCTAATGGATTGACTATTTTATTGTTTGATAGTTAAATCAGAGAATTTAATTATTAATCAAATAAATAAAGTATTAAGTCCAAATAGTATATTATGAATTTATGAAAAATAATAAAGGGTATAGTTAAAAATAAGGAATTATTATTGGTCCAAATCATAAACCTTAGCCGAATAGGAAAAGGATGCCTTAATCAAATAGGAGTTTTTTTTACCTTACCTGAATAGGAAAAAGTTTGCCGTAACCAACTAGGAAAACACATCCTATGTGATGTTATATAAAGCCTTCTCTTATGGGAAAAAAAAACTTGTCACGTTTATTTCCCATCCTCTCTACAAATTCAACATTCAATTAATGGCTTCGGGTTACCTCAATCGGAAGGAAACGGAGGTAAAGGTTGCTATAGCTAGGCGGGTGAAGAACAAAAACCCAGCCCCAATCCAAATCACGGCGGAGCAAATCCTCCGAGAAGCTAGGGAACGTCAAGAGGCAGAAATCAGACCGCCCAACCAGAAAATCACTGACCAAACAGAAGTAGCTGATTACCGCCTTCGCAAGCGAAAGGAATTTGAATCCTTAATTAGCCGTGTAGGCTGGAACAAGAGTGTGTGGGTGAAATATGCTGAATGGGAAGAATCACAAAACGACTTGAAGCGTGCTCGTTCTATCTGGGAACGTGCACTTGTAATTGATGCGCTTAACCGTGACCATACCATCTGGTTGAAGTATGTGCATATGGAGATGAAGAATAAGTTTGTTAATCATGCTCGCAATCTATGGGATCGAGCTGTTATCCGTTTGCCTAGGGTTGATCAGTTGTGGTACAAGTATATTCATATGGAAGAGATGCTCGGCAATGTAGCTGGCGCAAGAGGTATTTTTGAGAGGTGGATGGGGTGGATGCCGGACCAGCAAGGGTGGTTGTCTTACATTAAGTTTGAGTTGAGGTATAATGAAACAGAGAGGGCAAGAGAAATTTTTCAGAGATTCGTGCAGTGTCATCCGAAAGTTAGTGCTTGGATTAGGTTTGCAAAATTTGAGATGAAGAATGGGGAGATAGGGAGGGCAAGGAATTGTTATGAGAGGGCTGTGGATAAGTTGGCAGATGACGATGAGGAAGCTGAGCAGTTGTTTGTGGCATTTGCAGAGTTTGAGGAAAAGTGTAGGGAGACGGACAGAGCAAGGTTCATATATAAATTTGCACTTGATCACATACCGAAAGGGCGAGCTGAAGATTTGTACAGCAAGTTTGTGGCATTTGAAAAGCAGTATGGTGATAGGGAAGGTATTGAGGATGCTATAGTTGGAAAAAGTAGGTTTCAGTATGAGGATCAAGTAAAGAAGAATCCACGTAACTATGATACGTGGTTTGATTATATTCGTCTAGAAGAGAGCATTGGAAATAAAGAGAGGATTAGAGAGGTTTATGAAAGAGCCATTGCTAATGTTCCTCCTGCTGAAGAGAAGCGGTATTGGCAGCGATACATTTACTTATGGATTAATTATGCATTATATGAAGAGCTTGATGCACAAGACATGGAAAGGACCAGACATGTCTACAGGGAGTGTCTTAAGTTGATTCCGCATCACAAGTTTTCATTTGCAAACATTTGGTTGTTGGCTGCCCAGTTTGAGATTCGGCAGTTAAGACTCAAGGAGGCGCGGCTATTACTTGGAGAAGCAATTGGAAGGGCTCCTAAAGACAAAATATTTAAGAAGTACATTGAGATAGAGCTGCATTTTGGGAACATAGACCGTTGCAGAAAGCTTTATGAGAAGTACTTAGAATGGTCACCTGAAAATTGCTATGCTTGGAGCAAATTCGCTGAGTTAGAGAGGTCCTTGTATGAAACGGAGAGAGCCAGAGCTGTTTTTGAGCTTGCAATTGACCAACCTGCACTGGATATCCCAGAGTTACTATGGAAGGCTTACATCGACTTTGAGATCTCTGAGGGTGAATTTGAAAGAACAAGAGCACTATATGAAAGACTTCTTAACCGCACGAAACATTTAAAGGTGTGGATAAGTTATGCAAAGTTTGAGGCTTCAGCTATGGGGGGTTCAGATATCAAACAGAAAAAGAAGTGCTTGCAACATGCCAGAGATGTCTTTGAGAGGGCCGTTTCTTACTTGATAAATTCGGCACCTGAACTGAAAGAAGAAAGAGTAATACTTCTTGAAGAATGGATATATATGGAAAACAATTTTGGTGAGCTTGGTGATGCCAATTTAGTCCGTGCCAAACTACCAAAGAAACTGAAGAAGAGAAGGCAAATAGAGACGGAGGATGGTCCAGCAGCGTACGAGGAGTACATAGACTATCTTTTTCCTGAGCAGACTACTAATATGAAACTCTTGGACTCTGCTTATAAATGGAAGAAGCAGCGAGTTGCATCCAAGGATTAGCCAGATTCTGTGTTTGCTTACATTTTTTTTTTACTGTTTTCTGTTAGCTTCCACAACTCTAGTTTTTACCTTTTCTTGGCAGTTTGTAACGAATAATATAATTGAGTAAAGGGCAGATTTACAATTTTTAGAATAAAAGATGACTGATTACAAAAACCTTGTGGATGTTACTAAGGTGGATATGTTATTGGACCCTTCAATTAAATTCATCCAGAATATCCTCAAGTACTAAAGTCCGTGTTTGTCCAACTTCTCATAAGATTTCAGAGAAACCTGAAACAGATTTAAATTTTAGTTAATGTTAAATTCATAAATAGGTACGAGTTTAAGGTACTCATGAATCTTTTAAAGAGTTTAGCTTCTATACCGTGACAATTGACATTATATTTATAAGATTCTTTTATAACATCCGTCTGCAGGTCGCTTAAATGATAACTACAGGTACCTGATCATTAGATGATGGAGAGCTGCGCGAAAATCTGCCTGGAGAATTGTACTATTTAAGTGTGCGGGGGATAGTTTTGGCACAATATACGGCGGCTGCACGTATGGTGAAATAGGTGAGCGCAACATAGGACTTTGATGAGCACTTGAATGTACTGGAGACGCTATTGGACTTTGCCACTTCGGTTTATGATTAGTAGCCCATGTTGCCACTGCTCCTGGAGATCTTCTAGGTGAAAATATCACTGATGGAGGAATGTTGATCCTAATTCTGGACACAAAAGTAGCAAATGTGTATTGATGATCAATATGTTACCATGAGTCCATGACGTTCTTAATTGAGATAGGGAATATATTGTAAACTGAAATTGTTAACATACTTGTTATGAACATCAACATAGTCATCTGTCTCGTCGTATATTGGTTCCTTCCAGGAGAAAAAATAAGAGTTATTGCAGTCTGCAGACAAATTAGTAATCAACCCATCAGTTAAGAAAAAACAAAAATAAACGTACATAACCAACATGAATTATTAATTTTACCTGCAGAAGTTGTTCAAGTACATCTTCCATTGTAATGATACCAATTGCTTCTTCTCCTAAAATTAAAGATCATTCCAGTTTATCACTAATTAATTTTACCTGTAAAAGTTGTCGGACTACACTGGTATGTTGTAACATGAAATAAGTAAGTTAGTTGTACTAATATAAGATTATGTACCCTTTTCAGCTGCATGACGCTGTTGAATTGGACTGGCCGGAAGGATATTTATCTTGATTATATCGTGTTTAGTAGTGGTATTTTCTACAGTTTTCTTGGTGATTCTTCTACTCTTCACCACTACAGCCATATGGTTGTGCCCTTTCTCGAACTGGTTAAGAAGATCATATAATGGTAAAGAATCTGGGACTCTGAAGGAGATTAAATAAAGATCAAGTCAACTTTCTGTTTCACTATGGATTCACTTTTATTTCAACTATTTTTGGGTTGAATTCTAACGTGCGATAATACCATTGTTAGTTGATTGACTATATGAGAAATAAATTCAACTATTTTTTTACAAGTGTCTAAGCAAAATCAACACCTGAAATTGGAACAGCTAGAGTACTTTATTGAAAAAAGAGTATCAAATAATGCAACAAGTTAATAGAATCGTACTTTGGTATACTCCTTATAGTGAGATCTTTGATTGGCACCTCATCTTCAGGACGAAATTTTATCAATTTTTTCACCTAGATGTTGTATGAATGGTAAAGAAATGAAGAGAAGTTAAATATGCAACAAAAATTTTGCAGAGTGATAATTGAAATACTAATAAAGTTTCTGGAAAAAAAAAAAAAAACTTACCAAGATTAGGCCTACAATATTTGTTGGGGTACCAGAGTATACAGGTACGCGACTAAGGCCTTTGCTTATCATCAGATTCATCATCTCACTGAGAATCATCAAACATTATTTGGGTTTTTAGACATATAAACATGAAGTGCTAATTGAAGCTCGCTTAGGAAAAATTTGGCGGAGTTAGTAGTATACTCTGTAAGTTTAGAATGAAGATCAAGGGAAAAGATTCTGGACATGGGAGTCATTGCATCTTTAACCGATTTCTGAGCTAGGTCCAATGCTCCAGCAATTATGGTTGTTTCTCGTGGCTCAACTCCCCGCCTTTCCCTGCCTGTAATTAAGAGGTGAATCCAGGATTTAAAATTAATGATCTTATTATATGTACATAATTGAACTGAAAGCATTGGATAAATAACTTATCTAAGATAAGCCCCAGACTGCTAACCAATTTGTGATTCAGAGCTGGTCTAGTCTTAGAACGTAAAATCAAGAAAATTTAAGGTACTAAATGCTAACCTCATTACCATGCATATTCAACTGCTCAGACCAATTTCAGCTCTGCGCGACGTAGAAGTGCAGAGTACCCTTTCCCCAAGAGTAAATCCAACAACTGCTCAGACCAAGTGAACAAATAAACAACTTTTACATGCATTGACCGTATAATGAAAGTTTTCCATAGTCATGTAAAATAGAACTACAAGCCACTGTCTATTGGAGTAACCGGAATCAAATAACTTAGAAAATAAGGCATGCTACTTGCTACAACAGGCTAAATTAACTTGTAAAATCTTTTATTTCTCTATACCTTACTGATGGGGTAAGATAAAGGGAAGACAACTATGACGAGCAAACGAACCAAAGGTGCCAATCTTGCACCAATGCTCAGTCCATAGCGCTAACATATGGACTGAGGAATAATCTATGTGAGGCAAAAAATCGAAGTTTAATAATTAGTAGTTATTTAAGAAATAAGTTCAATCTTATGATTAGAAAAAAGATGAATTCCTGAGAAATAACCTCTCCAAAGGCTAGTATGAGGGTGACTGATATTAATATAGCATCCCAGGCAGGAAGTAAAGCATCTAGGAATATTGGAAGAGTCTGTTTCATGAAAATAATAAAACATTGATCAGCTCGAAAAATGGTACATCACTAGACTAAGTAGGCGTTTGGCCATGCAATATCATATCACGATATGGTATCATGAGATGGAATCACATTTGGACATGCGATTTTACGCTGATTCCATCTCATGATTCCATATCATGAGATGTGATTCCATATTTCCAAAAACCATGATATGGAATTATATGGGAATTCCATATCATGATTTGAGATATTTTAATAAAAAAATTGATCCACGAGTTTATATTTTGTTAAAATACCCCACAATTATATCTACTAACCATTTATTTCATATGTAAATAAAATGTATAATCACATCATTACTTTTTAAAATTTATTATTATTACAGACATAAAATTTATTATTCTCATCAACATATAGTCACTTTAACTCACACCAACCGATTGTTGAGTAGGGATGGCGATGGGGCGGAGCGGGGTGGGGGTGGGGCGGGTTGAGCTTAACCCGCAAATTTTTTACTCCGCCCCGCCTCGCCCCGCATAATTTTTTAAATATTTTCTTTTTCTAGTTAAGTTTGATACTAAAAAATAAAATTCATAACAATAAATTCTTTTTTTTCATTAAGTTATCTTAATTTAATAGGATAGTGACTTAAAAAATTATTTTTTAGGGGTCAATTGGAAAACATGTAAGAAACTGTATTATTTTTTATTGAACTATTTTCATGATTTATATAAATTATCTTAATAAATAATGTTCTATCACTTTTATAACATGTAAAAAGTAAAAATTAAATTTGAACCCACATAAAATCACATATACCCGCAACCCGCCCCGCCCCGCCCCTTAATTTAAAAAAAACCCACTTCAACCCTCCCCGCATCCGCCCCACCCGCCCCATTGTCATCCCTATTGTTGAGTGATAAATTTGTTTTGTTCATTTACTCCAACACTTAATTTATTACTTCTACCGTTTTATATTTATTACAACTATAGTTGTGAAAGGTTTCTCTTCATTTACTCTAATGAATTGATATGAAAGTTAGGTTGAATAGGCTTAAATGCATAATTATTTATATTCAACCATAAAGACTAGTACACTGCAATTTATGTTCAATTTTTTTTTATTAAATTAAAGTTAGATGAAACAATTACTTAAGTGGACAGCAAATAACTTTGTAATAATTTATTATGCAATTTATAAATTTTTGTTTATTTGATAAGATTGAATAAACAATTGGGCTATTTTAATAGTTTTACAACTTATGGAATTTTTATGTTTATGAGAAAATATACAACACAAAAATTTCATATCGCATGTCCAAACAAAACTTCAATTTCATCTCATGATTCCATATCATGATACCATGTCATGATTCCATACCGCATGGCCAAATGGGCTCAATTCACAAATCCCAAATTTAAATGTTGTGGGGTCTGAATCCATAGTTTAAACATTACGGGGTTTGAATTGAAACTTATATATATGTCTAACCCGTGAACTCATTGTTGGAACCGCGGCTTTTAACATACCTCCATAGCCATGGCGTTACATATTAGAAGGGTTCACAAGAGCAAGTGCTGATTCTTCACAATGGGCAAAATTTTCTCTGTGATCAGTTAGAAACAAAGCAATTAGAACTCAAAGTGGCATCACATCACTCACTCACTAAATTGACTTATTAGAAACGTTTTTGCCTAACTTTTAATTTGAAAGTCACGTTTTTTTTAAAAGTAAGGACTAGCAAGTAAAAAATAATTTTTGAATCGAAATAAGGATTAGCAGCGTTTTCTCGATCATTTGGCCCGTCTTAATAAGAAACTTAAGATCCATAAGGCTAAGAGACATGAAGGTGATGTTATGAAGGTGTAGAAGTCAGTTGTGTTAGAATGAATGTGTCCACTAGTGATCACTAGACCAGGTCCGTCAACAGACACTACAACATTTTAGGCCTACGGCCACCCCAATAAAGTGTAGCCTAAATTAGCAAAAAGTGTGGCCTTTGATAAAAGGCAACACTTTTGGACTTTAAGCAACGCTTTTTAAGGGGTGGCCAAAACGAGCGTAACCTTTGACATTAGGCAACGCTTTTGAAATGTCGCCATAGCAGCTACACTTAAAAAGTGTGGCCAAAGAGGTATAAAGGGCACGC